ATATGATCAGAATTAACTCACAAAACCACAGAAATAACGTTTAAAAGTATTAACAGTCATTTTTATAACAATTAACTTATTTCGTAACGGAGGTTAGCATAACGGACGTAAGGTGACACGCATTCTTTTTCAGTTTTTATCCTCGGGATAACTTTGCATAACTATTGAATGAATTTTTTAGGAAGAAGTTGGTCCTTGCTTAACAAAAATGATGTTTTTAACTTTCTAAAGCAACATTTTCTTCAAATTTGGTCCGTTACTGAGGTTAGGCTCTTAAATGCGACACCCCGACTTTTGTGAGTTAACATTCTCTATGATGGAACGCATCATTCAAAATTAACAAATAGCACTGTTTTATTAAACTTCATGTATTATGAGTTTGAAAAATACACAGGAATGCCATTTAAGAGCATTTTCATTTATTCTTACATTGACTTAAAAAACCGTTACGGAGGTTAGAGGTTACTGAGCGACATTGATTAAACTATGACAGTGACGTAACTAACCAAGAAATTCGACAGAGATCACCATGTATGATAAAAAGAAACATGAATTCAAATTAGTTGAGGACTAAAAACACTAAAACACGGGAAAATATAAACTTTTTCTTGTGGCAAATCAGCTATAATACCGAAGCGACACGTCGAAATCGTGCTTTTTGCGGCATATAGACCCCCGGGGTTCCCGTCAAAGCAAGTGGTACTATATTAATTGTTGTTTTTTAAGTAGAACACATCGGGTCCAGCTAAAAAAGGCTAAAAAAAGCAAAATTGCAGATGCTTTTACTACCGAAAATAAGCTGCGACAGGTATTATTCAGAATTGTACCCCTTTTCGTGGAATGGCTGAAAAAGTTTACATCTATAGAATCATACTCATTAGGTGGATTTATTTGAATTGCAATCTGGCGTCACCACTGCCATCGCACTTAAGGCTTCACATCTGTAGAATCACAATTTGGCCCAAATCGTGATTCAAAGTGCTTTTTGTGAACATGGTTATTGATTCATGTCATGTATCTGTTAGAAAAATGAATAAAAAATTATTTATTCTAAGTATTCTTAATGGACAATATTTAACTCTTAAACTTAAAATTGTATATTATTAAAGGGGTAACAACTGTTCATTTTGGCCAAAAAATGAATTTCCGTGGGGTAAACAGCAATTTCCCCATACAGTGATACTTATCAATGGTTAATGAATCCATTTCTACATTCAAAGTTAATCCCTGGTTTTTTTCCTAAAAAGTTTTTTTTTTTTTTGTAATAATCTCTTAAGACCTTCACAATAGCAGATTAACTAGTGGACAAAAATGGACACCACCTTCAGTGGACATGTCCTATAAAATCTATTTGAAATCTCCACATGACTTTCGGTCAGCCATCTGTAGAAATTTTTCCCATAATTCCTTTAGTTTGGGAAATATTTAGCATTTAATTTTGCAAATTTTGGACAAGGGTGCATTTTGCGATGAGCACCACACCTAGAGCCCAGCACCAACAAAGCCCAAAATTTACGTGGATCGAGTTGAGATTATATGTGACCTAAATCTAAGAGATGGGTACACAGGATCTTGTAGTCTAGGAGGAGAAGCGGTAGCGGTGACTTGGCAACAGAGCCGGCGGAACATGCAGGTTATGTACCACCAGCACCTACACTGGTGGTACAATAACATTTTAAGAGACCAGTCATCCTATATGTCTCCTAATGCACACCAACAAGCAACAATAAAAGACCAAGACAAGTTTGATCTTTAAAACATGGGTGCTGATGGCCAATTTTATTTACAAGTCTCTTTATTAGAATGACTGATGCAATTTAGTAGGTAACCTTGAATAATATTGAAAAAGTATAAATAAAGCTTCTGTTTTCCCTTTATTTTACTCTACAGTAATGATAATATGAATATGAACAATACAAGTAAAATGAAAGTCCTACAACACAAGCATGTCTTGCTGAACCCCTAAATGGTGGTGCACACATAAATCAGACCTTGATGAGAAGCGGTAAACTACTGTACAAAAACCAACCCTGGGCCCACACTTGCTAGATCCTAGAAGTTGACAAAGTGCACATTATTTGTTAAATATAATGCCAGGCACCAAATTGGATAGGACAGAACACAACATAATTATTTTATCAGCACTTGATATAGCTGCTTCCTCACTCTCATCTTTTATGCTCTGTACACACTGAAGCAGTACTGTGACCTTTAACATAGTAAACCTAATTTTTAACAAACCAATCACTCTTTCTACACGCATCCTAACTGAGGAAACACTTCTTGGCTTTTCCACTTCTCTAGCACATAATTGCTTTTTCTCTTTAGTAAATGCTTGCGTTTCATTGTGAGAACTACACTTTGATGCAAAGTCATCTTGTAACAGATGATATTTGCTGCTAAATTCTGAATTGCGTACAATTTTAACTTTGGAAGCTCTGTCGGCCCAAGCTTTGGAAATAAAGTTAACAGAACCACATAGATTGCAGGAAATAAAAAATCCCATTGCAGTGTGTTTTTTGTCATTGCTATAAACCTGGGCACGAGCTAGGAGGTTTTTGGGGGATTCAATCAAGACTTCAAAACAGTCTATAAGTGTGGGAATTTCCTTTTGAACACTGAAAATTCTATCCCTATCACTTCATTTTATCATGAAACCTAGCTTATTATACATAAAATCCATCCACCTCCAGAAAATGTCAATGACTTTTGATTGTGGTATACCCTTCACATGTGCCAGAAACCCTAAGGTTTAATTATGACGCAACTTGAACTTCAAAAGTGTCAAAAACAGCTGTTCTTTTAAGGGTAGACTTGAACCTATCAATCCTGGCTGTAAAAACACACTAATTAAAGTCAAAATCTGCATGAACATTGTCCATGAAAGTCCAGTCATCAACTGGCAAGCACTGTCATTACCTTTGACAGAGGATGTGGTAAATGAAGTAAGTGTCAGTAATTTGTCCATACTCTGAATCCTTGCATGTGGATCATATCTCTCTCTTCTACGATTTTCAATTTCTATGTATAGTTCTGCTCTTTCCACAGTGGCTTATCCATGGGCTTGGCCTCATCCTGGACAGGTATTCCTGAAGAAACAGTAGTATTGGTGAGAATAATTGGATTTAAAAAAATTCACACTGTAGAAAAATACAACAACTTAACTCAAACCATATATATATACTTACTCTAAGCTTCATGACATCTGGGCAATGGTGTCGTTCACATACATGTACCTTCTTCACCTTCTTCAGAAGTGGACGTACTGGTTGTGGGGACAGAAGAGGTATCATCTTCATCTAGAGGCTGTGAGCATTCTGTCTGATCTTGTTTACAGCTCTTCCTTAGCCTTGTCTCAATAACTGAAAGAAAACATCACAAGTCAGAAGGGAGTATGGGGTATATTTGATATTAAAATTAAAAATAGCCTTATGTATTTCACAGTAATAATATGATTAATAGATATAGATCTTTGTAACAACACAACAGAAATGCAGGTATAATTCAAATATAACAGTCATAATGGATAAATACTAGAACAGGAATACATTTGCATTTAAGTAGAAATCCAAAACCACTGATAATACACCTAAGAGGGAGTCTTACTCATATGCTGGACAATACAAGTAGACCAAACAGAATTGCCTTGATTTTCAATTTGAATAGATATATGTTAACCTATGAAATATTGCATATATACCTAGTGTATTTGAACCTTATTTTTATTTCCAAGAATAAATTTATCTTAAAAAAGCCAACGTGTTGTTATACCCCGCTTACATTTGTAGCACGTGCATAACGCCCCAAGATAACAGCAGATTTGTCATCAGTCTTTTCTTTGTGGGGGAATATTGAACAGATGTAATCTGGGTGGCTGGCATCTCAAGCTTTCACTCCTGTGCAGAAAAAAAAACTGTGACATATGCATAACCTATTGCTCGCAACCATTTTTCCTTTCTTTCTTCATCTTTGGGAATAACACAAATTTTCCTTTATGGATTTTTAGCACTGTTGGCAGTGCAATCTGGTACACAGCAAAATTTCACCTTCATTGGTGTATGAGTGAGTCAAATATAAACTAGTATAAACCCTTTTATACTAGTATCCCAGCCCAAAACTTGCCTGTCACATTTGCCAGCAGTGGAATGTCAACTGAAATTAGTACAATTGGCGCCTTCCTTGATAAAATCAATTGCTTCCTGAGAGTGTTCTACTTGAGGGGTGAATATAAGGCTCATCCAGGTAGGCATAGTGGCTTTGTAATTTACTGCGGTAAGATTCCCGATCACAGATAATGATCAGCAGTTAAGGCTGTCTTTCTCTTAATCAGGTGCGCAGCAGCCATAATTATAAAGGCCTTGAAAGGAAATAAACCAGGCATATAGCTCAACCTCACTGACACAAGTGGTCAAGCACTGTGAAATAAGGTCTGACGACATTTACATACTAGTCAATGCAATCCGCCATGTTTTCCTATCTGCTTTACCCCATTTGCCGGTTGCTAATGCAAAGTGCCCGGTTGACCGACTGTCCCTAAATTTAGGTTAAGATCTACGTACTATTTCTGATATGTACTGGCTGTGCTAACGCATAAAAGATATTGTCGTCAAAAAAATGTAAAATGAAGACCAGTTTGCACATCCACTATGAATCTTTATCTTACCTAGAAGTAAAAAATTCTCATAGACCGGCCCGTCCACAACGCCGAACCAACTTCAAAACTTTCCTCTCGGTATGCTTTCTTACCTCTGGAGAAGGAAGAGTTTCATAAAGAACCGTAATTGGTTTGATAGACTGGAGAATACCATGGCTTTAAAATTTATTTCCCTGACATATTAAAGACGATCTGAGGACGGAATAAATAATTATCAAAAAGTTCCGAGGATATGGCCCCTGGTGTCTTTTGGCATGTCTTGGTAAAGCACGCCACCTATGACATAGCTGTATATTGATTGCAAGATTCGGTGCAATCATAAAATTGTGCTATAAAGGTAGATGCCTTTGGAATTTCGCAGCCGTTTTGCAACCTCAATTTCTCATTGAAAAAAAAATTATAAAAACTAAGTTCTAAGTGGAAAGACAACTTGGTAGGTTTAAAAGTGTACTACTGGTGCTATTTTGACGGTGTTTGATACTTACGTTAGTACTACCGTACATGTACAGGTACGTGTATGGGTATGACGGGGGCGTCTCGATAGTCCGAAGGTTCATTGGTCCGAAGGTTCATTGGTCCGAAAAGTGGTAACATTTTCATCGATTTTTTATTTAAGGGTTCATTGGTCCGAAGGTTCTATAGTGAACATTCGGACCAATGAACCTTCGGACTATTGAACCTTCGGACTATCGCTACGGCCCCGGTATGACAGCAGTGTAACATTAATTTTAGGTGCTAACCAATCCCATCTTTTACTTTTTGGTCTGCTCGGTTAGCCAGTTTTCACTGGCCGTGTGTGCGTGCCTTTTTCCAGTGATATGTGCATGCTTGGTGCTTTACCCTGGGGTCCTTTCTGCATCCTGTTTCTTTACAAGTAGTCGACATACAGTACTGTATCTACAGAGGCAAGGCACCTACTAGTACACAGCGCCCTGGTGCTACCATAAAAAGGCTTGCACACATGACCAGCAGAAATGGGTTAACTGTGCATGCACAGCATTATCTGTGGAAAAGTGAACGACTCCTAGAGCATTGTGACATTTGTACAGTTGCAGATTTTATTAATAGCATGCACTGCATTTATGGTGAGTTGCTGTGCAAGGGAGATATGTAATACTTATATTAGTTTTATTACTCTTCCCAAACTTGTCACACAATTTCTTATCTTGAAAATATTTTCATTCCCACAAATAACAACTAAACAAAAAAAAACTTTTTGATTTCTTTTATAGCATTAAGCTGCCTGTCCGGTGTGACTGAAATGCGCAATACATTGCAACACAGCGCAATACACTTGATAACACAAGTCCAGTTGCAAGTAAACACACGAAAGGGTAATCTCAAATAAAATAGGGTGATATAAAAGCAAAATATAGTACATAGTAATTAATATTGCTGATACACCTTGACAATTTTTTCATTGTTTGGTCAGCCGCCATGTTGGCGAGTAGCTCTTCTTGGCCAGTAATATATCCAAGAAGAGCCACTGGTCAACATGGCTGCCAACCAGACAATATAAAAGTCTTGCTGATTTGTTAAGTTATATCAACGATATTACTTACCTAGTAATATAGGTTGTTTTTATATCACCATACTTTGCTGGGAATGGTCATTTCATTGTGTAATTGCAATTGGATTTGATTTTTGAAGTGTATTGCACTGTGTCGCGCTGTATTGCGGTGTATTGCGCATTTCAGTCACACCGCTGCCTGTCTTATAGTGTTAGTCAGGGGCAGATCCAGAGGTATTTTTTTGACAGTCTTCCAAATTATCTTTGTTGATCCATTCTCCAATTTTTGACCATCTTCCGACAGAAAAAATAGATACCTGTCAGTATAAATATGAATATTTGACTGTCCTCCTGAAGACCCAGAAGACAGCCCCTGTTAGTGGTGTCCAGTGACTGGGCTTTTTGCACCTTCATAACCATGAGACATTTTATTGAAAAAAGATGCTGCAGATCAACTTTGTGCCTTCCAATTTTATACCATTAGATAGTGATGTATATTAAACATGTAAAATTATACCAAGGGTAATGGTAAGAGTTTCTATGATAGCTTATTATAATTTGACAAGTTTGGTCATATGCAACAACATGGGGCTTGTGAGATAACTATACATTATATACTAGGCCATAGTTAATTACCCCCTTACAGCTTTCAGTAGGTGGGACAGACGCTTAAGCTGGTTAACCTGACAGTAATCTAGTGAGACTCCCCACAGGGATAGATTGATCTAAAATCTATGGAAATGGGATCTATGGTTTAAATATATTTTTTCATGCAATAATGTAGCCTAAAGGGTGGTATATTGCTCCGTAATGTGTATGCCCTCCTCTGACTGCAATGCAGGCAAGTGCCCTCCCCCTCATAGACTTTACGAGACCTCAAGTGCAGACCTAAGTTGTCCTTCTCCATTCTTTTACCAGTACAGCTCTTAACTCTATAGCTGGTGGTTTTGGTCTACCCAAGTCAATGGTCTACTCAGTTCACACCAGGGATGCTCAATAGGACACATGTCTGGTCTAAAGTAGAAGAGTCTGGATATGCTCCTGCTGCAGGTATGCTTGTACTATCCTGCTGGCGGTACAGGGGCAGATTGAGGCCGTCTTCTGGGTCTTCCGGAAGACGGTCAGATTTTCAAGTTTACATTGACGGGTATCTATTTTTTTCTGTCAGAAGACAGTCAAGAATTGAGGATGGATTAACAAAGATAATTTGGAAGACTGTCAGAAAATATCTCTGGATCTGCCCCAGCGGTATGGGAATGGGTGTTACGTTGCTGGAGCAAGCGAAGGGTAAGGTGTTGATCCGTGAATGGCAAAACAGCTGCCCTTAGGACTTTATCTATGTAACGCTGGCCAGTCAGACTTCCAGCAATAACCAAGAGTTCTGTCTGGAAGTTGCCACTTATGTCGACCCAAAACATAACACTATGCCAATGGCCAATGGCACTATCCCTGTCCAGATCAGAGAGCCTTTGTATGATGTCAGCATGGAATTCAATCTCCTAAACTTGGTTTTGGATTCCAGTGTCCACTAGCATTGATTGTGGACAACTGAACTACGCAAGACTTTTGTCCCAATTTGTGTTATGAGATATCTGAAAATCTAAAGTCAGCCATGGCCTAGAATTACCGATGTTTATCAGTACTCTACTGTAGAGCTGAGTTAGTGGTCTGTCACTGCATACAGTGACCAGACTAAGACTGGCTTCCCATACTCTATCCAACTGACAGGATTGATTGCAGTTATTACTGTTATCTTATGGGTCTGTCAAATTATAAAATTGTTGCTATTTTCGGATGCTGTTTCTAACTTGAGGAAACCTTGGTTCTGGGCATTGTTCTGTTGGACACTGGGCAGGGTTTCTTGCTAAATTGCTTTCGTCTTAAGCGGCTTTGATGTCTGGCACACCTACTGAAGCTACTAAACAATAATTGATTACCCCCTAGCAGCTTCAGTAGGCGTGACAGACATCTAAACCGCTTAAGTAGATTGCAATTTAGTGAGAATCCCCTGAAGCGCTGTGGTCAAAACTAAAACTTACCTTTTATTTATTTATTATTATTATTTTTTTTTTTTGGGGGGGGGGGGGCTAGTATACTCGCAACTTCTCCATACTTTTGTAAGCTTTATTTATTTGTTTGTTTGTTTGTTTTTAATACACATTAACAATAGTCACAATTTCACACTTTTATCTTCTTATTTCAGAATGCCATTTTGTGTTTGAAAATCATCCTGGACACCCTGTTAACATCGAGCCTGATAGATATCACAGGAATTATTGAAACAGTATAAAGTTACAACAACAAGACATACAAAACGAACTTTCTGATTCTGCAATCATGAAGAATTTGAAAAAACCAAATGTAGCACGAGAACTTACAAAGCGCTTCTTTTCAGTTGTGCCATCATTTACAGACATCTTTGATGAAGAAACCTTTTACATTGTGGCTATCCTAGTAGTCATATTGTCCATTGTGCTAGTAATTATACTGTCTCGAAAAGTGACCATTAAGGATGCTGGTCACCTAGATTAATGTATTAGATGTATTTTCAAGACCATTTTATCTATTAATTGTATTTAATGATATCCATGTACTAGTAGTTATGTTTTGTTGATGTCATATTGCATGCTGGAATGTTTTTGTTTGATTTAAGGTGTAGTTTTTGTAACAATAATCTTGTCATTCTTTATTTTTTGCCCCATGTTCATACAGAATTTACTGTAAATCCAGTGTTTATTTGACCCACTGCGCATTGAATGTAAAAATTGTGTTTGGTTTTATAAGGTGCATTTACAGCTTGTACCACAGGTACGGGTGTTAATTGACAGATATTCATACTGTGGGTATAGTCATATTAATAGATTCAAGCCAAGCGTATAAAATGTCTTTCAACAGCAAGAAAGCCAAATGTCTCCTGTTTATAACAGTTATTTTTCCTGTGGTTGACGTGTGTGTAACCACTGTGCTTTACTCACATGGCACTGGTTTTAAAGAACACTTCACCCAAGGGTTTTATGCCTACTCTGTGTTTACATCATTATTTGATGTTTGGTCACTCAGCATTTTAAGAGCAACATTGTTACTTGGACTGGCAATAGGGGTTATGTGCAATCCAAAGAAAGGGGTACAGCGAGCCAAAAAAGTAGTGCGTGTAATTGCAGTTATTACTGTTATCTTATGGGTCTGTCAAATTATAAAATTGTTGCTATTTTCGGATGCTGTTTCTAACTTGAGGAAACCTTGGTTCTGGGCATTGTTCTGTTGGACACTTATTGCATCCGTTCTCATGTTTGTTCTGTGGTGGCAAGTGGCAGAACTGAAAGTTATATCAAAGAAGAAGTATCATGGGATCAATTCCACTATTGGTGAAAGAGAAGGTCTTATAAATGCCAATACTACCCTTAGTAGCGGAAGTGAAGATAGTGAGGATGAAGAGAAAGAGCACCATAATGGTAATCGACATAAGAAAAAGAAGAAAAAAGCCTCAAGAACTACAAGCATTTTCCGCTTACTGAAGCTGTCCAAAGATGACTGGCCTTTTATTTTGGCTGGGTTCTTTTTCCTGCTATGTGCAGCTGGAGGTAGGTTTTATAATCAGCAGGTGATGGTGCATTTTGACATGCTATATGTTATACCCAAACTAGTCCACACCACACCACAAGTGTATTCCCCCAATGGCCATATTAACATAGCAGCAATTTAAGTACAAGTAATTTAATTCTTGTTTTCTGTGAAGATGGGTCTAAGGGGAGCATTCACATCGAGAAGAGCCGAGGTCTAGTAAGGCCACGACCTAAATCTCTTCTCGATGTGAATGCACCCTTAAACTTGGTACAACTCGCCTGAGAATGCCATCTGATTACCTCAAGCTCACCAATGTAATGGCAGATGTTTTGTAAGGGATAACTATTGAGTGGTTAGATTTGCCTACCCTCTTCCAAGGCGACAGATTTATTTTTCACAGATATTTACAGATATGTGTCTAGATAAATAGACAGTCATTTTGGTCTGATTCAGCCAAAAATGCCCACAATAATAACTGCGGATCTGGTAGAGGGTAAGATTTCCCCTTTTTTGTGGGATAATTGTTTTCAGATGGTCAACTTCCATTGATGTAACCAAGTTGAGTTGAACTACCCTCTTCCAGGGCGACAGATTGATTTTTCACGGATATTCACAGATATGTCTCTAGATAAATAGACAGTCATTTGGCTATGGATTTTTCCATCTTTCCCTATATAATCTGCCACCCTGGTGGAGGGTAGAGCTGAACCAGCTTCACTGGAAACTAGCCTTGAATTTGCCCTCTGCTCTAATCAACCATGATTTATATGGGCAACACTACAGAGGAGGGCTCTACAGAGACATGATGCTTTGTTTCGCACTAAGTGTAGAAATTTCAAGATTAAAGATTTTAGTAAATATCATTGTTTAATTGACATTGACTCTGCTTAATATGTTACTTATTTTGACAATTTCCTGTTACTACTCCAGCTGAAGTATTCCTACCATACTACACTGGCCAGGTGATAGATGGTATTGTCATTGAGCAGTCATATGAAAAGTTCACCAATGCCATCATTATAATGTCAGCAATATCACTAACAGCGTAAGTTAACAATTTGATATAGACACAGTTATTTGACACAGTGACCTTCCTTGTGAAGTACAAGTTTTTTCAAAGTTAATGTAGCATTTCTTCATATTGCAGACTTAAAAAAATATTATAAACGGAGCTACTTGATGTGATATAGACTAAACTTCAGTTTGGAGCAAGATATCAGATTGGAAGATATTTTTATTAATGTCATATAAAAATAATTAATTCCACTTCTTGTGCTGTTCCAGTGGTTTTGCAGCAGGGTCGAGAGGATGTCTGCTTTTACTTGCCATGAACAGACTTGGGCTCAGGGTGCGAAACTTGCTGTTTGGTGCCATCATGAAGCAGGAGACTGGCTTCTTTGATAAGATACAAACCGGTAAGGTTACACATTTGCCCTCCTGCCCCCCTCCTCCCCCCCTCCCCCAGGCCCCAACTACAGTTATTCAGCCATTGATCTCTATTGCAGTTGCACAAGTTGGCAAGGAATGGTTAAATGTAAAAAAAAAAACGGTGAAAAAGCTATTTACAGCTTTTTGTAACTGAACTGTTTACAGAATTTAATTTCAAGCTGGCATACATATTCAGTTGTTTCTTGCTTTTTTAAAAACAGTGAACCCAAGTTTGGTATATTTGTTGTGCTTGATTTGTTAAATTCCAGCATGATGTCAGCTTGATTAAAAGAAATACCAATGTTGTTCTTTTATCATTTATTCCAGGTGAAATCACCTCCAGATTAACATCCGATGCCACAACCATGAGTGAGTCAGTAGGATTGAACATCAACATATTCCTTAGAAGTCTAGTGAAAGCTAGTAAGTTTATATGTCTCATGTGAGGTTATGTGAAATATGAATTTCACCATGTTCATGATCAGTCATTGAACTGAGATACTAAAAACAGTGTGACCAAAGATGAAAATGTCTTGAAGGTTTGGGTCAGTTTATAAATTTTGTATTTATAAGTGATAATAAATGCAGGCATGATCCAATTTATAGGAATTTTACTGCAGAGTGGCCATCGTGGAACAATTCCTCCATTGGTGTGAACCAGTCCCCCTTACCCCCCTCATACAGTGGCTTGGGATCTGTCCAATTGAAAGGCTCCTGAAGGGGACAATTTATCTTCCACCATTCCTTTGTCTTGGGGTCATCTGCAATGGCTTGCCAGTCTGCCTCAAAGTTTTTTCCTAATGAATTAAATTGAGCACCAAATGTATGAGTGTTTTTGAAGTTATGTTTAATCTTGCACCCTGTAGTATGAGATACATGTAAGACTGTGTGGTCCTGAAAATCTTTCATTAAATTTGTACAAAGGCAATCATTTTCTTGAAAAAAATAGACTTAGATTTATGTCAGAAAATGGTGAAAATTTAAAAGATTGAAGATTGATATTTGTTAGTGAGAATGTGGCAAGTTATACATACCAATATACTCCAGGTAAGCAAAGAGGAGACCAGTCTCCTTGTGATAATAAATGGAGTAATTTCGAATATTGCTCTTAGTCAGCCTGTCCAGTACCTGAGGACATAATACATAGCATGTTAACTCATCCAGCAAGAACACCCATCTTTTTAGTCTAGTTTTTCTTTACGTCTCCCTCTGTATCTGCATTTCTGTGTGACATGTATGTCAATTAGAAGAGAAGCTTGATAACTACATGTACATGTATAAAGTCAAAGCATTAAATTGACCAGTTTGTATATTTTGGAGAAAAAAGTAATAATGTGTTGTAAAAATGTTTGTGATGGGCAATTCCATGTTCACTGAATCATATGCAGAAAAATTTACTTTCAAAGTATTTGGTTAATAATATATTGAGTAACCATCTGTTTTTAAGTGGAAATTAATGCATGCATGAATAATGTAAAGAGACAGGCACTGAGGCAGACATTCACAGCTTATATAAAATATATATGCTTATGAGTAAAGGCGTCAAGGCCTGGGCTTTAACTGTTGTTATTAACCCAGTTTTTAGAGCACTTCTGATTCATGGTAAATGCACTACAGGTAAAGACAAGGCAGTCTACAAGTCTTAAAGCAATTCAGTATATTCTGTTGTGTTTAGAGCTATTGTCCTCATCACAAAAGCATCTTACCTCAGGCCAGACTTTGGCATGAAGTTCCTTATATTTGGCATAACACTCAGGCTTCAGCTTGATAACTGAGCCATATCTTTTAGAAGGAGTGGTGTCACTGGTAGTAGCCATGTTGCAGTGGGCGGTTTGTGACCTATAAAACTTGCATTCTCTATTTACTACTTTCTTATCTAGCCCCAGAGGTTCAGTAGTGCAAACTGTTTCTAGGTCTGTTATTTGCATAGATGATCTATTTTGAGGTCACTATACATATACAAGTAACCTGAAAATGCAAAACAATTTGCATCCCATAACCTTTCACAGCTGTGATTTGTTTTACTCATTTTGACTTATTATATGTCTGTCTTTTAAAGAGAACCGTTGATGACTAAAATCATATGTATTTTATTACCCCCTTGGGAGTATTTATATGCTTATTTTTTACTGTGTTGTTAGTCATTTATTGATAAAATTACACAGCCTATTTGTGCCTGTAAATATAGAAATTGTGGCAGGTGAATAAATACAAAGTAATATATTTTTTTCTCTCATTTCCAGTTGGAACCTGCGTTTTTATGTTTAAGTTGTCTTGGCAGCTTACCTTAGTGACGTTTATTGGTCTTCCTATCATCATTGGTTTCTCCACCCTTTATGGCGAATACTATGAGGTAAAAACTTAATGTTATATACTGATAACACTGGATATTTTAATTTATCATTTTACAGGTACTGTCTTGGCTTTGCATAAATCAAACACCAAGATAGATATACATCATAAAAAGTCTTCCACATTTCTCGTTTTGTTTGAAGTCAGAAAATCTATTTTACATTATATATATATATATCTAATGGGGAATAATTTCCAAAATTCTACAGTAGTACTATATTACAACCTTGATAGAGGCCTGTCTGAATGACTCTTAAGTTTCATTTAGGATTGCTTGGGTCATATGAATGGCTAAAATACAGGTCAATTTTGTAAAATTGGCCAGACTATATCTCTGTGTGTGTGTGTGTGTGTGTGTGTGTGTGTGTGTGTGTGTGTGTGTGTGTGTGTGTGTGTGTGTGTGTGTGTGTGTGTGTGTGTGTGTGTGTGTTTTTGTGTGTTTTCAGAATAGGTTGCCCCAAAAATCTAAATGCAGGATGCTGGTAGTTGTTAATTTTGTCTTTTATATATACCGGGGTATGTGAATTTAGATTATTGGGCCGACCTAGGTTGCGTTCACATGAAAAATCTATTTTCTAAAAATCTATATGCGGTATCTTGTGATCACGGTCTGTGCCCTGAATACCCCATGGCGTAATTACAGGCAGCGCGAACCAGTTACTTCCAAAGCTGTAATTATTTCTTGGCGCTGCCAGTAATTACGCCGCGGGGTATTCAGGGCACAGACCGTGATCACAAGATACCACAAATAGAATTTTAGAAAATACATTTTTCCTGTGAACGCAGCCCTATTGTGTACAGTCATTTCATGAGTTTATATTCCTTTTGGTTACTCTCATAAGAATGTCCCATGGGTCAGGAATTGTTCAGTATTCAAATCATATAATGCAACCCTTTTTTCTCTTTTTTCAGAAACTGTCAAAGGAAATCCAGGACACTCTAGCCATTGCCAACAACGTGGCTGAAGAGACATGTTCATCAATGAAGACAGTTCGCAGCTTTGCAAACGAGACTGCAGAGGTCCAAAGATACAAAGACAAACTTCAGGATTCCTACAAGTTGTACAAAAAGGAGGCTCTGGCTTATGGTGCTTTTATGTGGTGCAATGAGGTAGGATGAATGTTATGCAATTGGTACTTGATATACATATATCCACCTCATGAAGCGATTGATCTGCACATGATGAAGTAAAACATTAATGGGGGCTCTGAATGCTTTAAGCATCAATAAGTGTTTTAAGCTCGACTTGATATATATATATATATATATATATATATATATATATATATATATATATATATATATATATATATATATATTTTTTTTTTTTAAAAGAATTTCATCTTAGTTAACTTTATTGATAAATCACATTTGCATGTTAATCTCAGTAATGAATACCCAAAATAGTGACACATACATATCTATCTCTAATTATTCCCTTCTAATTTTCAGGTCTTTGAACTGTCTTTGACTGTAGCTACCCTTTACTATGGTGGTCATCTTGTCCTGAATAAAACCATGACTGGTGGCAACTTGGTGTCCTTCATCTTGTATCAGCTGGAGCTTGGTGACTGCTTTGAGGTAAGACACCATTGTACGTTTTTATAATGGCTGATTTATAACATCTTCGATAAATGACGGGAGGGGAAAGGGGCAATTAATAATCAGATTTTTATTAAACATTGTAAAACACATGAAAAGCACAAATACACTTCCTTGCCCACTCAAGAACAGACACATGTTAGACTTCTATTTTCAATTGCTTTGTTTCTCAATGTATTTGTACTTGCATTGACTGATTCTACCACAGGAAATGGGTGAAGTATTCACTGGTCTAATGCAGGCAGTTGGTGCATCAGAGAAAGTGATGGAATACATGTATCGTGAACCTAAAATCCAGAATGATGGCTCACATATTCCAGGCCAACTTGATGGTCATATTGAGTTTTGTCAGGCCACATTTACATATCCTGCTAGACCAGATGAGCCTGCATTGAAGGTAAATGAATTGATACATGTACAAGTTTTAATCTGTTCTCTTTTTCAGTCTATAGGAAATGTTTTCACATCTTTGATGCAAGCTGTGGGTGCTTCTCATAAAGTATTTGAGTATATGGACCGCAAACCTGAAGTTATAAATGATGGTACATGTGCACCTGCCCACTTGAATGGGCTCCTGCAGTTCAGACAAGTTCATTTCAGTTATCCAACCAGGCCAGATGAAAAAGCATTGAAGGTAATTGCAATTGGAGTGTGCTGCCAGCTTCCAAGTTTTCAGCTTCATGTGCAGCAGTATGGATGTTGCTTCACGTGCAGTATGGATTTGTGTTTTTATTTATTGTTTTATTGTTATACTTCAGTTTCTTTTTTGCTGCTTTATTTTCCTGTATCTATATTTTATTATAGTTGTAGCTTTGAATTGTATATGTCTGTCACCAAGGAATGATTCAGTGAAAGAATTAATTAATCAGTGATGCCTGCATGTTCACTGTTTTGCTGTTTAAGGGTTGCTGATTGCCTAAATCTTGTTTGAATTAATAAGGCTTGTATTATAGAATTATAAATGTTAGTACTGATTACATTTGAAGAAATAATGTCTCATTCCATATGATTGCTGTTTTAAAATTAGTTCCTCCATATTGTTTAATCAATGTTTTGTGTATGTTGCTCAATGCAATCTGTTTCTCACAGCAGATCACCAGAATAGAATTACCTTTGCACAGCTTGTATGATGCTTGTTGCTGGTAGCGGTTATTAAAAATTTATGTTGTTTGCAGATGTTATCCAGGCAAAAGGCTTATAGTCAGTAATTTTGCTTGGTTTGGAATCATCAGTTGCTTGATTTACTTCTACTTAATTGCTAAACAGAAAAATATAGTTTAAAATCAGTTTGTATCTACATTTCAAACACAGTTACACCTTATTACTTAAAAAAATTAAGTACCTGATTTCATGAACTTCATCTCTTTTATTACACACAGGGCACCATTTTTAGGGATATGAGAAATGAAAACTGTTTGATTTTAGTGAGTGATAACCTTAAATGTTAAATTTATGCAAAAAAATGTGATATTATGTTAATTTTTTCCCTTTTCAAAGAAGTATGTTAGACTTACAATATTACCATTCCTCTATGTAGGATGTTTCATTTCAAGTCAAACCAGGAGAAGTTGTGGCTCTTGTAGGACCAAGTGGTGGTGGCAAAAGTTCCTGTGTAAACTTATTGGAGCATTTCTATGAGACACAGTCTGGTGAAGTACTTTTGGATGGCATTCCAGTCAAACAGTATGATCACAAGTATCTGCACAGAAAGGTCAGTAGATAAAGAAGTATGCTTTTAATCACTTGCACCACACCAAATGCCATTGTAGTTGAAGATGGACCAGTTAAATTTTATTAATTTGTTCATTTAAGGGCCTTTCTGCTTTAGTTCAATGAAGGTCACTCTTATTGCTTTGGGCCAATTTAGGCCAGTGGGTATAAAGGATTACTGGGCAGACTGATAAGGTGAAGTGGATTTGGAAAGATGTTGGCTTAAACTGTGCCTGGAATAAATATCATCAGCTGGATGCCCAACATATTACTAGTAGATATTTCATTCTGAAAATTTTAAGATGTCAAAGATTATCATGGCATTAACAGCAAAGAAATACCTGGTGCTGTCCTTAGACATTTTAAAGTGAAATATGTTGAATATGTGTAAATCATTCTCCATGTATTTTTTTAAATAATTGCTTAATTTTCCATCTTAACAATAGATAGCTCTAGTTGGACAGGAACCAGTGCTGTATGCTAGGTCTATCAGAGAGAACATTGCTTATGGAATGGAAGAGGAGTGCAGTATAGAAGAAGTACAACTTGCTGCCAAGAAAGCCAATGCACATCAGTTTATATTAGAGATGAAAGATGGATATGAAACTCAAGCAGGAGAGAAAGGACTCCAGTTGTCAGGTAAAAGGGTTGTTTGTTTGTGTGTTTGTTTGTTTGGTCTGTTAGGTGTTGGAACACCTGTGTTTTCAGTTACAATTCTTTCATACAGAAGAATTGGCATTTTGTTATTATTTCCTTTATCATAATTTCTTTTGGCATATGTGTATATTGCATGTGCATGAAGCAATTATGTACAACTGCAAATTACTTGAAGATATGCCCTTAATATGTTTCTAGAACTATTTTAGAAACTTTCTTATCTTTATTAATTATGAAATATTATAAACCATGCATAAGATTAATTGTGACCTTTTATGTATGAAAATACAGAATATTTCTTCCAGCCTTTTAAATATTTTATCACAATTATGTAACCTATTTTTCTTTATATTTCTAGGTGGTCAGAAACAAAGAATAGCCATAGCTAGAGCATTGCTACGTGATCCCAAAGTTCTGCTGTTGGATGAAGCCACCAGTGCATTGGATGCTGAATCTGAACATGTGGTAAGACTTCATGAATCAACTGAATTCTTTTCTTTTTGATGATTAATTAAAATGTTTTTAGTTAGTTAGTCATGTGATATTAACACCTCATTTTGTTGGTTTGAAGGATAATTTTTTAGATAATTATTAAGAAATTTTGGTCGATAGCTAATGATAACTGTCTTGTCATTTTTCTCTGTAGGTCCAACAAGCCATTTACAACAACCTTCACAATCATACTGTGATCATAGTGGCCCATCGCCTCAGCACAGTGGAGAAAGCTAACCGTATAGTGGTCATAGACAAGGGCACTGTGGTGGAAGAAGGCACACACAAGGACTTGTTAGCTGCAGGTGGACTGTATACTAAACTGGTGCAGAGACAGATAATGGGATTCGATGATTTTGCAAATGAAAACAAGGCTAAGTCTGACACTGTCAAGATTAACAAGAAACGTAGATCATCATCCAGTAGCAGTGACAGTTCTAGCAGTGCATCAGTTGGATCCCCATTACGGAAACTCTGATGTTCCTCTTCGTTGGGATATGTTATTTTTTGTTTTCTACTTACTCTTTGAAGGAGAATAATTTTTGAGAATTAATTTGCAATACTCATTTTATAACATGTCTAAGTGATTTCAAATGCTATTGATATAGGATGGTAAGGAAATAATTATGTTTTTATTTATTTATTTATTTATTATTAAAATTGAAAAGGTAATGGGAGAGGCCTAAAGTGCTGTCTGTTTACAGATGTTTATCTGAACACAGTGCATGCATGTCTCTCCTTCTTACAATCATTCCAAGTTACACTAACTTACAAAGCAGTGGCGGGTTTAGGGGGGAGGGGTCAGGGGGTCCTTTGATTTCTGGGAAAAAATTAGAACTTTGACTAGCTGAATCATAGTTCAAAACCGTACCAAATGGCAATGTTCGCCCTCTAAAATATCAAAAATTTTCCAGACCCTACAGAAGGCCCTGAACCCCATGCCAAGGGGGTGTTGGCTTTCACATTTGCTGACCCCCCCTTTCAAATAATCCTGGATCCGCCCCTGCAAAGTCACAACAAGAATGTGTCATGGCAGTTCTAACAGCTGATTATTCTATGGAATTAGCATATTAAGAGTTTTCTTACAGTAATTTTGTACCAAGATATTCAGTAATGCATTTATATGTTTATTCAGAAAAAAGCTTTTAATTACGTACTATATTCAAACAGAACTGATTTATCACAAGCATTGCTTTATTTGTTATATCTTATGACAGGGATGTTATCCTCCTGGAATGGTAGTAGGGTTCATGGAACATATATCATTATTATTTTAATCACCTCTGCCAAGGTGGTTATGTTTTCACCCCTGTTTGTTTGTTTTTTTGCCTGTCTGTTTGTCATCAACATAACTCAAAAAGTTAAGTATGAATTTCGATGGAATTTTCAGGGTAGGTCAGAAATGGGTTAACTTAGATGTGATTAGTTTTTGGTGGTGATCTGGATCAATAATCAGTCAATAATCTAAAATCAAAAAACTAAGTTATGGACCGATTTTAATGAACTGTCAGAACTGTCAGAAGTGGACCAAGGAACCGATGATTAGTTTTTGGTGGTGATCCGGATCAGTAATCAATAAATAATCAACAATCAAAAAAAAGGATAAATCATTATAGAATGAAAATTTAGGGGTGAAACGGTATTGGATGGATACTTTGCTGCCTTGGTGGAGGTCTGCACTCTCTGGGTGCTTTTCTAGTTATTATTGTAATACATGGCATAAACCTGGTCGGTGATGATACTTGAGATAATACTTACATTGGCATAATATGATTATTATAAGTTCCTATCTTATTCATATTCAATATATGTGATACTCAAGAAACTTTTATTGATAAATTCCCAATTTTAGGACTCTTTTGTTCTAAACATATCAAAGCAATGAACTAATTCAATTCACAGCATTTCAAGGATGAACTCTGGGGAATTCTAAGGTGTTGTTGTTGTTTTCAAGCTTTTCGTCTGACAANTTATGTTTTCACCCCTGTTTGTTTGTTTGTTTGCCTGTCTGTTTGTCATCAACATAACTCAAAAAGTTAAGTATGAATTTCGATGGAATTTTCAGGGTAAGTCAGAAATGGGTTAACTTAGATGTGATTAGTTTTTGGTGGTGATCTGGATCAATAATCAGTCAATAATCTAAAATCAAAAAACTAAGTTATGGACCGATTTTAATGAACTGTCAGAACTGTCAGAAGTGGACCAAGGAACCGATGATTAGTTTTTGGTGGTGATCCGGATCAGTAATCAATAAATAATCAACAATCAAAAAAAAGGATAAATCATTATAGAATGAAAATTTAGGGGTGAAACGGCATTGGATGGATACTTTGCTGCCTTGGTGGAGGTCTGCACTCTCTGGGTGCTTTTCTAGTTATTATTGTAATACATGGCATAAACCTGGTCGGTGATGATACTTGAGATAATACTTACATTGGCATAATATGATTATTATAAGTTCCTATCTTATTCATATTCAATATATGTGATACTCAAGAAACTTTTATTGATAAATTCCCAATTTTAGGACTCTTTTGTTCTAAACATATCAAAGCAATGAACTAATTCAATTCACAGCATTTCAAGGATGAACTCTGGGGAATTCTAAGGTGTTGTTGTTGTTTTCAAGCTTTTCGTCTGACAATTGGCCATTGCCTACTCCTAGCATATTGGTCATTGCCTACTCCTGTGCATTGTCGAAGAATTTGTAAGTTGTAACACTTAGCCTTTACATAAAACAAATAAACGCACAAAGTTATTTAATTTCAGCAGATAGATTCTTACTACAAGAACATTGGGGGTATTTGGGTATTGATAAAATGTTGTAAATTTCATTTATCATAATCCAAGATAGCATTTTATTGCATAGGTTTGTTACCACATTACTCATCTTTTGTGAAGAGTCATCAGACTGTATTAATCTAGATCATTGTTTTGAAATAGATATCACTTGGTTCACCTGTTTGTTTTTCTCTTTCGTAAAGGAAAAAATTGTGAAACTTTTGTATAACATTTCCAAAGGCATATTTCTCGAAGTACAAAAAAATAAAAACTTTGTAATGTTTCTCACAATGTACATTCATTCGATAATAATAATAATAATAATAATAATGAATATTAATTATAATGTTTATTTAGCCAGTGACGTAATCCGAAATTGTTATGCTGTTACCAAAGTAGAAGGATATCTTACTTAAAAACAGAGCAAAAAGTATAATAATATATGCTTGTAGTTAAAAAAGAGAAACTGAACTGAACGCATAAAGACTTTTTGAAACATCTTGCTCCCCCAGAAAATTGTGTAATTACTAGGAAAATTTTAAAACGCGCATGGACAGCCTACATTCTGGTACACTTCCATCTCTTTCCACCTACTCAGCACGAGGAGTTACACGATGATAAAAGAGCTGTGACGACTGGTGTCTGTTTCATGATTTGAAATTTCTATTATAAAACTACTTATGATAGTTCCACAGAATAGCAGTTTGGCTTGACTAAAGCTGCAGCTTGCCTTAAAACCTGTGCTGGTATCATTTTCTACGTTTTTAATAAGTGGTTCTGTCAATTTGGCTTTCAGTCATTCAAAAATTGTTGTTTTGGCTTGAATGTGTTGAAGTCATCGGTGCCGTACCTATTATTTAAATATAAAATATGGATTTGAAAATAAACACATATTATTAGCAAACTTCGCGAAAACATTGCGAGGCGGTGAAGTGAAAGGCAATTGTTTTAATAGTTTAACTGATCAGCAAAGCAAGAAATGACATTAAAGAATTTGAAGAGTCTTGCAAAAGTAATTAAAATTGAGCAGCAGAAAATAATGATTACCTAATTTTGTTCATACTGGATTTTATTGCTTCAAAAAGAACCATTAATCATTTCCCCCTTTTCTTGCTCGTTATCATGCAGCAACAAGAAACAAGAAATCCATTACATCTGGCCTTTGGTGGGTGACAAATGTAAGATATATGTACTGAGGACTTGGCAAAGAGATGCAGTCTAACGTATTCTATACCAGAAGCACCAACTTTTTGGTGGAGTAGAAAAAGGTAGGCATTATATGTTTTAGATTTTTTTACTACTTAGAATATATATTTGAATCATATTTGTCAATTTTTTCGATTTATCTAGTTATTAAAATTATTTTCATCATTATTTTTTGTCATGACGTTTGTTACCTTAAGAACATTTCAAAATTTTCTTTTTTATTGGCTACAACTAAGGTATTGTACTATATATATATATATTCAAGCATTACATCACTGAGAGAGTTTTTCTCATTTTACGCTTAAATTGTTTGGTGGTATGTCAGATTTCAATAAGGAATTTTGTTTGAAATTGAAGATTCGCTGAGGGCAGGGCACAATTCAAACAAAGTGCAGTTTAACGTTTGAATATAAGATCTGATATGAAACAAACTAAACTTTTTGTAGAGAATTTTGACATACCGTCTCGTGGTCCCGTAGATTTTACACAGCAGTTATTTTTATTGCCGTTCAAATCGTATCGTAAACCGCTTTGACAGATTTGAAACTCCCAAAAATCGAACATCCCATTTTACCCCAAAAATCCATCCCATAACTCCAGTTATGAGATCACGCAATAAAACTATCGGAAAATTGAAAATGTGAGAAAGCGTGAAAATGTGGTATCAAGCATTTGCCCTAACGGTGGTTGTGAATAAAAAAAAAGATGTAAATAAAAAGAATGGGTCTTAAAAACAATGCGTGACTCATCAACCTAAAAGAAAGGTGTCTTTTTCTTTTTCAGTATCATGGTCAAATGGAAAAATCTTGCTGTGGCCTTGCTGGTGTTACTTTTGTGGTTTTCTTCTGCGGCTGTTGGGAAAAAAATAGGTTTTGTAAAATTTGCGAAGTATACTTTCAAACTATTTAAGTCTAATAACAAATTTCTGTCTTAATCATGTTTTACATATAGTGACCATTCGTGTGTGTGTGTGTGTGTGTGTGTGTGTGTGTGTGTTATCTTTGGTCTCTGTATTCTCCTTTAAAAAATACTCTTGCTAAAATGATGGGATATTTTGAAAATAACAGATATAATTATTATTTCAAATTCGCCGTGATAAATGTCACAAAACCTTTGATATAGCTGGCTATAACATGACCATTATACACTTTGTGAACCGTGTATATACATGTATAACAAATCTGACCAGAATGGCAGGCAACGTGCACACTTATGGCCTAGCCACTGGTGTTTGAGGTTGCCACTCAATTTTGTCCCGTGACAATGCCCAGACTAACTGTAAAAGCCAGAGGGAGCGCTTCGTACCTTTTGTGGATGTGTCGCAAACAAAACGAAATTGCCGTTCGCGTTGGAATCACTGAATAAGCAGTAGGTAAGACCATCCACATCCATCTTTATCCTGCAAAGCATCAGCACTTCTTGCACCTGAGTTTCAGGACACTGTAAAGCTAGCTTGTTCACTATTCATACCTTTTCATGGAATAGCTTTTCAGCTTTGCTGATATGGGTTATATATGATATCAAAATCGAGCTGGCAAAACTGAAATCTAGAACCTACGGTACTGATTCCTGGCATAAGTGAAGAAATACTTCTACTTGATCGCTTTTCATCCAACTTCAACAGATGAATAACTGTCGCTACGAATGAATCTGACAACTTCATTACAAATTGCGTCTTTGGAGGCTTGTCTGGTTTTCTGATGAAGAAAGATTCCTTCTTCAGTGTAGTTAGCAAATTCAAGTTGCTGAAGACTGAGGTAGGAACTGTTGTGTACGTTGCTGGTAATGTCCACTTTTGGTTTGCTATTCTTCAGCGTTTCACGTTGAAGGTCGAATCTTGTAAATGCCTGATCGAGACAAAGTATACATAATCTTGAATTTGAATTGAAATAAACTTGAATTGAATTTGAAAAAGAAGTCGGTGAACAAACAGTTGTAACCTCCAATTCGTTGCGTCGCCAGTGTAACAGAACTAATGAGCTGGTTAAACAAAACATTTTGTCTCAGTTTTGATTTCTTGAATTTACAGATACAAAATTCTGGTAAAATACTTAATCATTTAAGCAAGACTGTATTTGTCCTAAAGGCACGCAACAGGCTTTTAAGAAATTGCATGACTATACCTGTTTAATATTCAACAAATTCACACGAACGGTCACAATCACCTGTGTACTAAACACTTTCTCTAAAACTTACGGCTGTCTTGTCATAAAATCTTTGTATTTTTATTTGGCTTCCCCTCAAAATTAACATCCTTATATGATTATCTTTTTGGACATTTTGAACTTAAAATTGTATATTCGTCTTTTATTTCATTCCAATCTTCACGAAGGACTGGAAGTTTCTTTCTGTCTATCAAAATCAGACATGTTTTCCATTCGTTTACTTTAAATTTGAAAAGTAGCTAAACAAGATAGACGATTTAATAAAGCCATATTTTGTACTGAATCTATTTTTCCTTAGGTCCTTGTGTGTGCATGGCGTACGGAGACCCCCACTTTCAGACCTGTGACGGACTGAAGTTTGAATTCCAAGGTGGTAAACATTGTTCTCTAGATTGATCCGCCTGACACTTTATATAACTGCTGCATCATCTGGACCAATAAAGAAAACAATTGGAGACATTTCACTGTTTTCAAAAAGAGACATTGCTACAAGTCTAGTATCAAATTGACCGTAAAGTTCAATTTTTGTGTGATTGAGCTTAAATTCGTTATATAATAGAGTATTTCATACAGATATATAGTTACATTATATTTTCTTTGCTGAAGCAAATCAAATCCCCCAAGTCATGCAAGTTAAGACAATTCACTTTTAAAAATATAATCTTAATAGTTTTTTTCTTAATTGCGTAAACCATACTTAACAATTTATAAATCAAAACAAATGGATCGACCGTCACAACCGTTACCCGTTAGTTAAGACATACATACTGTTGTAAAAACCCGAAGTTTGGACCTATGGCAACGTCGACTAAAGCAAAGGTAATAGGCCTACACAAATTTCTTTCCAGGGACATGTTCATACAATATGATGTCTTCGTGCAACTTAATCCCAGGCATAGACGACGATCTGGTCACCTTCAGCGTGACTATTAAGAACAGTGAGGCAGAGTCAGGAGAACAGACTACCTCTGTTCACGAAATCATTATCCAGTTCAATGGTATCTTAATCATCATGGCGTCCCATGGCGGAGTGACGGTGCGTTGATTAGATATGCCATAAAATACACTAGATCGACCTATTTCCCTGGGGGTTCACGCTAAATTGCTGTCAGCCGACCGCGCACAGAAGTTAATTACCCCCTTGCAGCTTTTAGTAGGCGAGACAGACATTTAAGCCGGCTAGTAATCTAGTGAGACTCCCCACGGGGATAGATCGATCTAAAATCTGTGGGAATGGGGTCTTACGGTGCGCGCTCGGCTGACAGCAATTTAGCCTAAACCCCCAGGGAGTTAGGTCGATCCAGATGGATCTATCTAAATCTCTGGTAATGCAGTCTAAGACGGGCGGGACTAGTCGGGACAGACATTGAAGCTGGTTAAGAAGATGTTCACAGTCCATAATCTATGTCCCGTTTAACTTCTAGAAAAAAATAACCCGTTGGAATGCTGTTAATATAGTCATCCTATTTGATTTTAAAATTTTTTTTTCTATTTTTATTGAAAAGTTTTTTTATCATTTTCAATTTAGGTTAATGACGCATCTATTTCTATGAGCTCCGGACCCAATGTTTTCAATGGGTACAATTTAACACGTATTGTAGATGGACAGATAAATAGACTGGAAACTGACTTCGGGCTGGCTGTTTTGGTCAAGCTGCCGATAGCTGGCAATAAGCATAGAATAAGAGTCAAAATCCACAGGTAAATGATCGTCATTTTGATTTCATAATGTAAACATAAAGTATTTAATATTGTAATATCAATAAAATTTCACTCTGTCTCTGCTCATGCAAACATTTAGCTGTTCGTCTTGGTGTCTGTCTGTTTTACTGTAAGACACGCAAACATTTGTGCAAAAGTTTGAATTAACTCAGAGGACAAAATGACGAAGGTGTTCAAAGCTCGGCATTTAAAAACGGCGTAGAAGGAAACAGGAAACTCGTCTGTTATGCCAATTTACTTCCAACACAAGTGTGGATGCTGAGCTGGGTAACCTTTAAATCCACCTTCAACTCTAGTTAGTTTAATTATCACACACACACACACACACACACACACACACACACATGCGATCATTCATTCGTGGAAACGAATTATCGAATTGAAATAAAATATATTGCATTTGGGTTATTCGTCAGAAAGAAATGTAATCTAATTTGAGATGAGGAATTTTAATCATGGCCTTATCTTCTAGTTAAAGTTAACCAGATACACTGATCTCTTGAGAACACACTACCACGTTATGATATTTCTGTCACAAATTGATCCAGCACTTCCAGCACTTGTGGCACACTTTAACTGTTGGGAATTGCCGTGTACAATTAGTCTATATCCAGCCGTATTGAATACTGGAAAATGATAGCTAATCCATATATCTTAAAATCAGTAATTATGATAATGATAGACCATGGGACCATGACATCAATTTTTTTCTACTAGGCGTTATCGTAAAAAAGTGTGCGGTCTGTGCGGCAACTATGACGGAAGAATGGGCAACGACATGCGCACTGCAAATGGGACAAACTTGAAAAGACTTTCCAGAAAAAACCGCGTGAAAGCTTTTGCTGAACTAGGCAAAAGTCATATGGTCCAATCATTTATTGAAGAACCGTAAGTGCCGTACATATTTGTTGGTTCAGCTTTCTTAAATATATATATATATATATATATATATATATATATATATATATATATATATATATATATATATCGAGCCTTTAAATGGGTAAAACGGCTGTAGGGCAATATAGAACGGACGCAGTGACCGGGTATCGGGGTATGGTTTTCACACCACACACACACACACACACACACACACACACACACACTAATGCTTTATGTTTGTAGATTGCAAAAGCTGATCGCTGTTTAGTCTCTGCCAGAAGATACATTTAAGTCAGTACTCTTTTTAGATGCGAGGACGTCATACCCACTTTGCACGAGCATCTGAAACTTGAAAATATGTTACATGAGGTGGATCCAACTGCTTGCCAGGGGGTTGATTCTACATTGCTTGCTCAAGCCGAGTATTTATGTCAAATCCGTAAAAGGAGGAGTCCTGTCAAAAGGATTTTCAGCCGTTGCCTTCGTCAACTGAGGAACCCAGTGCATCACATCAATGTAACGGAATTTGAAGATGGTTGCGTCAGTGCCTTTTGTTCGGGGTTGACGAGATCAAAAAGAAACGCCCAGCGACAGGTCTGTTATTTCGTCCAGGCCCTAGGGGAGGTATGCAGAGATATACAACGGAGATCTGAGGGTTGGTGTGAAGTGCTGAATTGCCCTGCTAAGCCAGAATTGGGATGTCATAAATGGGAACCATATTTGGCTCGGTACGCCGGAATACCATTTGTTTGAGCCCCACTCGTCTGAGCCTTTTGAAATGCCGACCACTGAAGTATCCGATTCACATAATGCAGTGTATAAGGTGTATGCAGTTTCGATCTTGGTGGAATATTCTTTCAAATAGTTATTTATCGTTATTATGTCGTATAAACATGTAGCTTGTGTATGTACATGTTCACATAGATCGATATGGACATTATTTTATATCGGTATGCCAATTCAACATTACATAAAGTGTTTGACGCTGGAAAACAACTCATTATACAAGGATTAAATTCTTCAATACCAAAAGAGTATAATTCATGTTGCAAAAGAAAAAGAACGTTGAGGGAACATTATACGCGTACTATGCATGTGCTACGGGTTAGGTCCTAAGCATGTCTGCATGTATTCCTTCTTTTTGGTGCAATAACACTTGAACTGAAGGGTTAATTTTCAGCTGGCTAATTTCCTTTAAAGTGTGGTGCAGTATATTTAATTTTGTCATATTTAAAATGTTTAATAAATGTTGCTTTGTTTAAACATGTAGAGTTACTCAGTATCTGTCGATGTCAAATGTTTTTGACGTAATAACTGAAGGTATTTCACGCAATATAGTGGATGGGTGTGGGTCATCACTAAGACAAGGACTTCATTTTAAACAGGATTTTCTGTTTTTCAAGTGTTCCAAAATATGTTACATGTAAATGTATGTGCTACGATGTTACAATGAAGGGGGGGTCTATCAAAGCGGGCAAACGCCACTGTTACGTGAAATAGATAGGTTCACTGGGGGGTGAACGCCAGTATTGGTTCTCTGGCTATCATCACACCTTTCTAATTAAAAAAACTTAACCAACAATGACGATATTGATTGAAGCAGGAAATAAACATGTTTTTCCTACTAATTAAGCAAAAGTTTGACCCTTTAAATAAGATTGTTAGTTGAACTTAAACACTACTGTATGTTTGACACCGTTATTTGTAGCGTGCATGTATATGAATGTTTATGCCTAATTTGTCTATGTTCAATAGAGATAACCGATTAACCTGACTGCACTCTCAAAAAAGTTTCATAGCTCTATCCTGCCGTATTAAGTTAAACATTTGTTAATATTCCATTTTGAAAAGTTTTAAACACAAAATAACGTATTAATTAAAAAAAACATTTCAAGCGCCATTTCAAGACTCATCAGAGGGTAAATGAAATACATGTTTTGCATTTTACAGAAACGGTTTTCATTGAACAAGGTGGCTACAGGGGGGTGACATAAGAATGTTGCACCACCTGTGTGAATAGTGCGCTTTGTGACATGGGGAACCCATTCGCAAAAAGTGATTTGTGGTTTATTGCTCGCGTAACCAGTGATGAATTTTTATCCGTGTGCACTATGAGGGGTAGCATCGAGGGTGCAAACCCCCTCTGACTGACAAGTTCCTGCCATGGAGAAGCTACGGAAGCTCACAAACGAAGAAAGAAAATAAATTGTTCCTCTGGGGGATATAAATGTCTCTCAGATAGCCGCCAGATACGGTGTTTCTGGTCAGACTGTATATAGGGTTTGCAGAAGGGCGGAGAACACTGGTGATGCCCATCAGTCACCACAAAGTGGCCGCCCGAAGAAGACCAGTACCAGAGACACCAGGTGTCTTTTATGCTGTCAAGGCTTAAGAGATTTATATCTTGCAGCGAATCAGCTTTTCAGTGGTCCCGTAATTTGAAGGTTGAGGTTAGCAAAATAACTGTTTAAAGAAAGTTCCATGCTTCAGGAATTCACACCAGGGTTGCCAGGCGAAAACTGCTCATCACATTGGTAAACAAACGAAGAAGAGTGACATCGGGTGAAAGAACCATTGCATGGACCCTAGATCCATTTATGGCGCCATTTTGTGTTGCTGAGCAATTCATTTTCCAATATGATAACGCCACATTCCACAGGCTCAGGTCTGTACAAGAGTGGTTTTACCATTATGGCATCAACAGGGTGGACTGGCTTGCTCAATCACCAGTCATAAACCCCAATGAAAACCTGTGGAATCAGGATGGAAATACAAACGTAGCCCACAGAATATTGCTGAAGATTACTGAACCGTTATCAATCTCCAGAAGGATAGTGGTCACATTGAGATCACTTGGCTGTCTTACAAAATACATGTATGAATACTGAGATATATATGTAAGGTTATATAAGGACAACACATTGGACTGTGAACCTGAAGTAAAGATAGTAACTTGACATTGCCAGTTTTCAATAAAATACTATTTGAAACACTAAACAAACCCAGCTGTTTTTCATCTTCAAGCAAAATGGTGCAAAACTTTTGTCACCCCTCTGTACATGGTGCACACATTTTCATCGTTTTAGCATTTTCTTTTTTAAAGGTCTTAATAAGAAAAGATAAGTAGCTTTGCAGGATATGAAGGCATAAAAATTTATCTTTACTGCCTTTTCAAACGCGTTTAGTACCAAGTAAAATATTAACAGTACGTGCATGGTATCCCAACATACATGTATCAATACACTAAAAATGCTCACAAGACAATGCTCTTTGTGTAAAAATAAATCATCTTCTGTAGGCTGTAAATAAAAGGTCAGTAAATTCAACTGTTGCTTTTCTTCATATATCACATATTGCAGTACTTATGATCCCCCCCCCCAAAAAAAAGTGGCTATCGTCCCCATTATTTCTAAGGCGATAGTAAATAACATACATGTACAGGAATACAGGGTGTGTGGTGATTAGTGCAAGCAATGTCCTCGTAAAATGCAACAAAATAATGATTTCCTCTTTCCGTCTTCTCTTAAGATAACGAATTTCTGGTATATAAAAGTGGCAGTCATATTTATGGAACATTTGGTTTTTATCACCAGCATTTTATATCTTCATGAAACTATTGTTAACATCCTGAAATCAGGAGTAAGTTGTCACTACCTAAAGAGAAAAAATGTTGATTACCACAACTTTTACATACTGTTTGGTCTATGTCATTGCAATTAACCTGTTGTTTTCTCTAGCATACAGTTTTTCTGCATATAAACGGTAACGTTATACACAGAGAAATGAGTTGTAGTAATTATTATGGCAGTTATTCATACACTGTTCAAATATTAAAATAATCATTAACAGCAATGTTTTGAGACAGCATGTATGTATCAATATCCCACCTGAAAATGTACAACTATTCGATGGTGAAAATAATCCATGTTATGGCAAGAAGATAATTTTTTCTGCTAAATCATGTTTACTAATAGAAACCATTCATATCGCTTATGAATATTATTTGAAATTGTATATATATATATATATATATATATATATATATATATATATATATATATATATATATATATATATATATATATATATTAATAAGGTCGTAGGAGGGTTTAGCCCGTCTTTGTTTGGATTCAAATTGCTAATCATTGAGTAAAATAGAGATGGTCACCCAGTGATTCCATGTACATAGGATGAAAGGGTTAAATCGTGCAACAAGAAGGTTATGGTGTACGTATTCATACGAATGGATCGGGACATTATCATTTTTTCAATTTTCTTTGCATTGATATCTAATCAAAAACGAAGAGTATCGTGTTTTGGGTGCGGGTTTTACGTCCCAAAATGTTCAACACAGACGGTAAATATAGCCAGTGAATACATGGAAAATTGTTAATATAAAATGCGATGATTGAAATGAAACAGATTGACATCTCTTATTTATGACCATATGCGAGAGAACATATCAGAGATGAATTGGCATGTTGATCAGCCTATTAACCGACGTGTGACGGGTGTGGAACATAATTACGTACGTTTACAGAGAGTTCGTAGAAATCTGATGAGAAAAAACGTATCTCCCTGGCGTCATCGATGGTTTTCTAGTCAGTTGAATTGTCTTGTACTTGCAGACCATAACTTTATCAAATCCAGTTTGAAAGTTTTCCAAAAGACAAGTTCAATGTTTCGGTGTTATTGCGTGTATGTTTTATGATTGCTTTCTTCATTTGTATAGAGGCTAGTAAAGGGATAAAAGGAATTCTTCCAACTGCAATTGGTATGCATGAGTAGAAAAGGACGTAAGGCGCCTTTCATTTACAAGTCAATAAAAATGAGAAAAAAAGGGAAATTCTTAACAAATTAATCCCTACAAGCGGCCTCTTAATGACTCGCCTGTTCACTAATGAGTTGACAATCCTACACCGTTTAAAAATTTATCAAAAATATGCGCACTTACAGCCTACTCTATTTAATCTGAAATACATCGCATTTTTTGTCAGACTTAAGGTTTCAGTTGTCGGGTGTGAACATCAGACCGAGGTAAGTTATTCATAATTTGTTCTCTTTAGTGTTAATTAAGTGTTCAAAATGAAAAGAAAGATTGCATACCATAACTTAATGTCAGCACACTTGTGAATTTTTGGTTTCAGATATACGAGGGTACCTCAATTTCACACCTGTAGTTAAGAAACTATCTACAGTTGAGTTAAAAGTGTCCTAAAATTTATGATAAAATATCTAAAATAATAAACCAGTTTCGTAAATAAATGAAATAAAGTAGTATTTGTAGTATTCTTTTACAAAACCACCTGTTGAAAATTGTGATTAAAAAATTCAATATTTGAATATTCTATCATTTTAGGATTGAACATCGTAAAAATGAGATACTGTAATGTTCTTGCATTGGCTTTCATCGTCCTTTTTGGGATCAAAGCAGGTATGTTTAAACATTATAAGACAAGTTTCAGACAAAGAACAAGACTTCAATTAAGAATGTATTTAGAATAACCATTTTTCTTAGTTTTCCCTTGTTTTCACAGACTTAGTGGATGAACTTGTTTAATGATTAAACTCGGTATATCCCTGACGTATATCTATATCTGAGATTACCGTGATACGATACGTTATTACACAAAGAAACGTTAGGGTATTAGCATTGCCTTATATTCATCAACAGCTATGGAAAGTAAGATATTCCCGAAAAGATTCCATAAATTCTCAAAGAGTACTATTCAAACAATGTCAATCAATAGTTCCCAATGTTTTCAAACTTGGCATGGAGGCAACAATTTAATCGTTTATTATTATTATTATTATTTTTTTTTTTTTGTATAGACATACCGATATTTTTTTTCTACCTTTCAGATGCAAAAGTGCCCCCAGAATGCTTGTGTAGCCTTCACGGTATACGCGGCGGGACTATGTACACGTCCTGTGATGAGGCACATATCACCTTTTCAGGTAAAAAATATTCTTGTCACAAGAAAGCATCCCTCCCCTGCAAAAAGAAAAATCCCTGTCATTGAGTTTGATTATCCTTGAAGTCACATCTTCGTGTTATTTTTATTTCTTTGATTCTGATTACAGAGCCTTTATAACGTGGGTAGATATTCTAGTTGAGAGTCTTGGGTCACCCAAGGTTTAGATTGCAAGTATCTTTGTTTGTCACTAAATTTTAAGACTATGACCTCTTCAGTATCCAATGTTTGAACTATATAGGCTCGTGCACGTATTCTCTGATGAAGACATGCAACGACACTTCTGACGACATGATCTACAAGCCACCTTTCAAAGTTGAAGTAAAGAACGATTACAAAACCGAAAACGACAACCAAAACACCTTTGTTCGTGAAATCAGCGTTTCATTTCGTGACAACAGCATAACATTTGACTCCAAGGGGGGATTTATGGTAAGATTTTTCCAATTTATAACATATCTTATTTCATTGTGTTTGTGTTTATTAAAAATTTTTAGTTTTAAATGAAAGAAGAAATGGATGTACTAGTACAACTTGCGGTTAGTAATAGTGATTAGAGTGTCGCAAGGGAGTTTATTTAAAGAATTATTACAGCAATTGTAAAATGAAATGTCTGACAGTTGTTTCCCAATCTTTTTAAATGTAACATTCGACTGCAGGTAAACAACAACCAAGCGGCAACAAACTATATTGGAGACGGGTTTACTGTGACTCGTTTGGAACTGGCAGAATTTGATGTGATAGAGCTCAATACAGATTTTAGTCTGAAAATTCTTATTCACACGAACAGTCCAACGCATAGAATTCGAGTCAAAGTGGGACGGTAAGTAATATATAGGCCTATATATATATATATATATCAATTCTTATATACCGCACAGCACATGCGTCTCAGCGCGGTTTACATTGCACGCCTGGCCATTTTTGGCCCTGATACAGACTGACTGGGTGAGGATACAGGGATACAGTCCAGCTGCCGTATGAGCTGCTGAAAGGTAGCAAACGTTTTTTTTTTTTTTTTTTTTGCCTTCCGTGTTGTCAAGGTTTGACACAACCTTAATATTATTATTATTGGAGAAGCTTGTCAGCAGTAAAGGAACAATCCAAAAGAGGCTATTGGAACATGTTGCACACTTCTTCAGCAGAGTTGTCAGTAAGAAGACCCTCATCACCAGGGTAAACCGGATGGCAATATCACCACACGTGCTGTAAAACCCCTAAACTGGACAGTGCGTCGCAAAAACGGCACCAGTTGGTAATATCTGATACCAACTCATCTGATAGTTCAATCTTCACCCTTTCCGAAACTGGAGTAAGTTTAAAGAATTTGGAGAAACAGGAGAGCTCCGAGAACAGGTGGCCCTGAAAACATGCAGATCACGATCAGCTCAGAGCTGCATTTTGTAACCCAACGCAATTTACAACCTAAGAAAAACGGGAAGGTTAATGGGTTACCTCTACACCATGCACAGTGATGGTTTTACTGAATATTTAACTGAAGAGATTGGTATACTTTCCTTCTTTTGATCATTTCTTTTTGAAATTCAGGAAAACAGACAGGGCCGTGGCCTGAGCAAAATGCCAGGGGGGGAGGGGGGGGGGGGCAGTAAGCACCCCGCACACGATGAGCAATTGGCGCGCGCCACTTGCGCTGCGCCAGATGCTCGCGCTCCTCAGCTCCCCGCAAAGCTCTCAGCAGAGGTGCCTCCCGGCCTGCCCCTATCGGACGCACCGCGAACTGTGGGATCATGTGATTAACGAAACAATACATATTTATTTCTTTTCTGAAAGTAATGGCAAATGGTGACCACGTTAATCAATCAGACTAACTATAGCCTAACTGTGAACATTTTTGTTTACTTCGCTGGGGGCTGCCATTTTTCTTTGTTTCCGGCTACCGGCACATGCGCATTGTTGGCATGGCGTGAGCAATCGGCGCTTGCACCCCGCACACGCTGAGACATTTGCCTCAAGAGACCAAAAATATCAAACACGTGAGATATTTTGCTCAGCCGCGCAAGAGGCAAAAATCTCACCAAAATACCCCCGCAAACGGTGAGAAAACGGCCCCGTCTTTAAAGGGGCCCGCACACGGTGAGACATTTGCCTCAAGAGACCAAAAATATCAAACAAGTGAGATATTTTGCTCAGCCGCGCGAGAGGCAAAAATCTCACCAAAATACCCCCGCACACGATGAGAAAACGGCGCAGCGCAAGTGGCGCGCGCCAAATGCTCACCGTGTGCGGGCCCCTTCACTTGTTTGATATTTTTGGTCTCTTGAGGCAAAGAGCGCAGAGTTTGCTGGGAGCTGAGGAGTGCGAGCATCTGGCGCAGCGAAAGTGGCGCGCGCCAATGCATTGCTCACCGTGTGCGGGGTGCTAGCGGACACGAGGGGGCGAAGCCCCCGAGAGGGGAGGGTGGGGGAGGTGGTGTGCCCCTCCCACGGTGTGGAAAACTTTTAAAAACTGTATGTATAATACTACATTCTGGTGCATTTTAACTGTTCAAATATTGCTCAATCAGAAGTCAGAAATTGTGGGTTCATTTTGCCATAAGTACAGTCATTTTTTCAACACAACACGCCAATTGGACTTTTTGGCATGAACTGAGTTGGCTAAAAACAGTACACCTTTGTTAAAAGATTGTTGAATGATTGTCTAGTGGCCATGAGTGCATTTTCTCACGGAATTGATACCAACTTTGCAATTACTTTTTTTT